TGCTTACATGGTATTGCTCTTGAGTACTCGTCTTCCACTGCTGCTGTACTTCCAGAGAAGCTGCCACATCTGCCTGGAGAACAGATAAGGCAAGTGAAAATGATACCTTGCAGCATGTGGAGACAACGTGCAGAAGAAACAAACAGAGAAGAATGCAGCATGCACAGTCAGCTCAGCAGAAGGAGTCTGAGTTGAGGAACTCGAGAAGATGCCACATCTGCCTGGGGAACAGATAAGGGAAGTGAAAATGATACCTCGAAGCATGTGGAGACAAGCGCAATAAAGCACGTGCCGATTCATCCGTTACTTCTTCAAAATAAAAAATATCTCATATTATCAGGGTTGCAATCACTTTGGGTGGAGGACTCGTTTTGACACTCAAATTCTTGGGTCGACTCGCTAGGCGTTGTGGGCTGCACGTGCCGATTCACCACCATTGAATCAAATCCTTAAAGATCAAATCACCAACTGGAAGAAGAGCCCATCAATCTTGAAGATCATACCGTTGACCAAACTGCTCAGGTGTGAATTAGAAAGATTGAACAAAGCAACAAGTCGTCACCTTCACCTCGTGCCTGCTTGCCATGTGTTCAACTTAACCTTCAAGAATCAAGCCTCAACGGCCCTTGAAGAAGCTTCTAGCCAAATTCAAGATCAAGCCTCGACGACCCTTGAGGAAATCAAAAGTCCGATTCAAGATCAAGCGTCCACCACCCTTGAATCAAATCCAGTTCAAGAATAAGCTGAGGAAAGTCAACAATTGGAGGAATCCAGAAAATCCTCCAACCCAGTTCAAGATCAAAGCTGTGGAAAGTCAACAAGCGCAAAAACAAATACGTGCCAATTCATCCAATACCAAAGCCAAAGATCATCTACCACATGAAGCTCCTTGTGGTCCAATTTCAACCTTCAAGATCAAGCCTCGACGACCCTTGAAGAAATTTTCAGCCCAATTCAAGATCAAGACTCAACGGCCCTTGAAGAAATCTCAAGCCCAATTCAAGATCAAGCCCCGATGGCCCTTGGATCGACATCTACAATAAGGGACTTCAAAACGCATCTCCTACACGTGACAAGCACATGTATACGACGCGCCTTGAAGTGGGGGCATTTGTAAACATCGAAATTTTGATAAATAAATGTTGACCGATAAATCAAAGTTTCAACGCTCATGTATTACATAAATTTTACACGTAGCGTGTGACTCGACGAAAAATTGAAATGAGTCGGAAAAGTCATCAAACAGGACACTTGTCAACACCTGGCAGAAACGACTTATTTCATCTGTAATATTATATTCAAAATTAGGCATTGGAAAATTCTATAAATAGAAGCCAATTTCATTCATTTTTTAGGAGACCAATTCATATTACACCAAAATCTTGAAGCTCTGAAGCTCTGAAACTCCGAAGCTCTCAACATCCAGGTTCCCGAAGAATCAAGAAAGCCCTATTCGTTCTTCGTTCATTGTTTTTCCAAGATCAAGCCCCGACGCCCCTTGGATCAACAATCATCCACCTTCAAGATCAAGCCCTGACGACCCTTTGAAGAACTCCCACTAATTCAAGATCAAGCCCCAAAGGCCCTTGAAGAACTTCCACATATTCAAGATCAAGCCCCGACGGTCCTTGAAGAAAGTGTTCATCGTTCATCATCCGTTCATCCTAAGATCAAGCCCCAACGGCCCTTTGGATCAACAACGTCGACAAATCCACACATCCAACCATCCTTCAAGATCAAGCCCAAAAGCCCTTGAAGATCTGTCAATCATTGTTCTTTAAGATCAAGCCCAAAAGCCATTGATGATCCGTTCATCACTGTTCTTCAAGATCAAGCCCAAAAGCCCTTGAAAATCCGTTCATCACCGTTATTCAAGATCAAGTCTTAACGGCCCTTGAAGAAATGCTCATCCTCAAGATCAAGCCCCAACGGCTCATTGAAGATCCGCTCAAATCCACCTTCAAGATCAAACCTACGGCCCTTGAAGAATGCTCATCCTTAGATCAAGCCCAACGGCCCTTTGGATCAATCGCACATCCACAAATCAACACCTTACGGAGATCGAATCAGATGATCAAATTTGAGAGAGATTGTAACCCCTAAAATCATTAATACAAAATATTATTTTGTACACGTGCTCTTGTCTCGTTTGTTTCAGGAAAATTTCGTGTTTACACATGTTTATGTGGAGTCACAAGAATGTAGTTCATAATGACTTTTTAGAATGCGAGTTTGAATCGTCCAACAAAATAGAGATGAATTTCATTAGACTAATATTTTTTATAGAACAATTTGAGAATGGTCTAGACTTTATATTGGTTCGACTACCATAAAATTTTGAGTTAATTGTAGATATGATCCCTTAACTTTAACTCAATTAGAGTAATAATCCCTCAACTAAAAATCCATTACCATTGGTCTCTTAACTCATCAAAACGTGCAGCTATGATCCCTCAACTAAAAATTCATTATCATTGGTCCCTCAACTTTAATTCAACTAGGGAAATGATCCATTAACTTTAACCCAATTGTAGCAATAGTCCTTCCAACTTAACTCGTTTTGACAAAATTTTTGACGTGGTTGACAAAAATGACCATAATTACACACTTTGATGAGTTGAGGGACCCTAATTATATAAATGGTTATTCCAACATAACTTATTTTGATAAAATTTTGACGAAATTGATGAAAAGGACTATAGCTATACATTTTGATAAGTTGAGGGACCAATGGTAATGAATTTTTAGTTGAGGGACAATTGCTTCAATTTAATTAAAATTGAGGAGCCATTACTACAATTTACTCTAAAATTTTTATACTGCCAGTTGGTAAGAAATTTGTAGCTTGAATAATTTACGAGACACTGCTAACGACAACAATCTAAAATATTTCAAATTAAGTTATTCATGTGACAATCTAACTCTTAGTCTAATCATTCCTAAAATTAAATCTTAGATTCGAATTCTCCTTTGCCACATTCATTGATTCATTTTTTTCATTTGGTCTACTACATTAGCAGCCATGACATTGAAGTACCCAAAACCAATAATCTAATGACAAAAATAGGATGAAACATTTACCACAGTTCAAAAGTAACACCATGATATTAATGCTACGTAGTTTTAAGTGTTACGGATAGTTTAGTTGTTATATTTGATTTTCATAATTGTTTAAAACTTTTATTTTCAATCTTACTATACCAGTCAGTGTTACTTACTGTTAAAAAAAGATTGCAAAAAAAAAAAAAAAGTAAAATGAAAAAACAACACAAAATACTTCATTCAACATTCAACCGTTTGAAATAAACCACATAGTAATCTAATTTAAATTACAGTTAAAATTACAGTGTGATAAATTTTAGGCTTAAATGTTAAAATGATCCCTGTGTTTTAGTCATTGGATTAATTTAGTCCTAATGTTTTCAATTTGGTCAATTTAGTCATTGTGTTTATCTTTGTTAGCCAATTAGGAACATTTCCATCTAATTTCTATATAAAATATATATATATATATATAAATTATTATAAACTTATTTACAAAATTAAATATTTGATTTAAAATATTTATAAATGAAATAAAATAAAAAATAAAAAATATTATTCTCCTTCCCAATTCCCTGACCTCCTCCCTAACATTACCTTCTCTCATTTCTATGTCACAACCTTAATTATTTTTCTGATTGGAAGTTTTATCTTAAAAGAGATTGACTAAAATGTCTTTAATTGGTTAAAAAAGACAAACACGAGGACTCAACATAAGGATTAAATCGGCCATATGGCTATAACACATGGACCATTTTGACATTTAAGCCTAGATTTTAACTTGGGTGACAAGAGGAGAGTACACCGTAACTTGGATACGATTAATTTTACATGAATTTAATTACAAGTTATAACCACTTAGTACTACAGTTTAGTGATATTCCTCATCATTTGTAAGTAAGAGGTCTTAGGTTCGATTTTCGCCAATGGTGAATTTGAACCACATTATTACTAGCTCATTGTAAGGTTAAGCCCACCCCCCTCCCATAGTGTAGATAATTTCATATGTTCAAGAAAAATAAAATACAAGTCTTATTACTTCTCTAAGCAACGACACTAGGTATAGGAGAGCTTATGCGCTTGGCATAATGGGCTGAAGAATAAGGTCCTATCTAAATAGGACAATCTACCACTTGTTTGTCATTACAACCAAAAACTGTTTGAATTGAATTGCATGCACCTTTTATTATTTTTGACAAGAAACGATAACGAAATTTTATTTATCAATCAACAAATTACACAATTATAGAGATTGCTCTGGAGATAATTTACACTAACATAAAAAATAGTAAATTCCCTAAATGGCCGAATAACAACCAATGGAAACCATTGAGAACCTAAACCATTTATTAGGTTGTAATGATTTGTCCTCATTTTACCACATTTTTCAAACTTAGGGGACCAATTTGGTTTTTTTTTTTTAAAAAGGAAAATTAATGAAAAGAGCTTGAAAACTTTGAGTTTTAACGATAAGGACAAAATAAAAGGTAAAGTAAATAGTATCATGATTGATTTTTTAGTGTAAAAATGTGGTTTTTCATTAAAGTGAACAATACCATGAGTTTTTCGTTAAAGTTCCCAATCTCTTAATTTTTTTTTTTTTTAACAAACGATATTTATTTACACTAAAAGAGTGGAGGAGTGAGCTAAGTTTTACAATGGGCTAGCCATAATAATGTGGTTCAAATTCGTCTTTGACGAGAATCGAACCAATATCTTTTAAATGCCACTAGATTGTAATACTAAGTGATTAAGTAATCTCTTAATTACAAACTCTTGTAATACTCGACAAATCATTTAAAGGGAACAATGGTTTGTTTGATTTTGCAGCTGCACATGGAATGCCGAAACAATGGACGTCTAAGTGCAGCTGACTGTTCTTTCTTTTTCTCCCTAGTTGGGTGTAACATAGATAACATGTAACATTATTGGGTACAGAACTCATATATACATATAGAAAGAGAAAACAATACGCCAAATTCCATTCAATATTAACAGCTTCTGATAAAATACACAAGGATATACTTATAGAAAGGTTTTAGATCTTAGACTACAACCATATAGTTTGATAATCATTCCAATTATACACAAAATCACATCTTTATTATCGATCATATGTAGACTGATAGAAACTCCAGCAACCATGCACCAACAACTGCAGGACAAATAAAAGCATTGCCAATAAGGCGAGAACTACGGCTTGGTTGAATCGTCATTCCGCTGAGGACTTGATTAACGACTTCAGGGAGATATTTTCGGGAAATTGAAAGAATGTTTTCAATTGCTGCCAGCTACCTCTTCCTTTTATTCGTAGTTTGATTTTCAAAATTAGAAGCGATGCTGCTAAATTGTTTATCCTTATCATTGGTTGAAATACTCTTCAGATAAGAATCTTTATCCCCACATGTAGGTTGACAATTGTTGTAGCCGTTGTCACAAATATCGGTATGCAGAACGCCTCCTAGATATTTTTCTGGTTGAACACATGGCTGCAAGATTAAGAATCACAAACAAGCAACTGTTAAGTTTTTAATATACAAGTTGGTGTCAAAAATAATGTTCAAGCATGATTATTCTCACCTCCAGAATCATGCTATCTGTATATTGATTTTTCAAATCAAATGCATTGTAGCTAACCGGCTCATTTTTATCATTGGTTGAAATATTATTTTTGAAATTAACATGTGAATATTTATCTCCAATTTGAGGCTGCCACTTTATGCACTAAAAAATATTGGCATCCATAAAATTTTCGAGTTTTGTGTATAGTGGTGACTGTTGTGCGACATGTAATTGAAATACATTTGTGGCTAACAGGATTAAAAATCACAAATAAGAAGGTTTAAGTTTTAATAAACTTTTGTTTTATTAAATTTAATATTAGAGTATTCAAATAAGCATGTTTATTCTCACCTCTTGAGACATATCATCTGCAGCTTTATTTTCGAAATCAGACACGGTGAAGCTATGAGGTTCACCTTCATCACAGGTTGAAATATCATTCTTATCAGTATAAGAATAATTATTATCTCCAAATGGTGATTGTATTGTATTACAATCATCACTAGTGCCATTGGCTTGCAGAACAGCTCCCAGCTGTATGTTTCCTGATGACAGGAATGTAGAGGAAAGGTAGTCTTGTGGTGTCTGGTGCGGTGTTTGAGGGGGTGAATTCAGAATTTCTTCCATCTCAGCACGCAACTGGTGGATTAAGAATCACAAACAAGCAGGTGTTAAATTTTAGCAGGCTTTGCGAGTCCATACAAAAAAAATGTATAGTATATGATTATCTTACCTCTAGAAACCTAGCAAATGCAGTTGGATCATCCAAATCCGGGAATTTCCAGTCACCAGTTTCATCATCACCATCATCAAAGCTCAAAATGTTATTACTGTCTATAAGACGAGAACCATCTGGAGACTCAGAGCTATTAACATCTCCTCGCCCTTTGTATCCCAGATGTTCCACTGGCTCTGGAATCACATCACTTACCGCAGCTTGATTGTCTTCCGAGTTAGCACCTGAATCAGCTAATTTGCCGCAGATTGGATCACCCTTCGGCTTCTTATAACTAGGTGACCTGTTCTTCAGGAGGCAGAGGACAAAGGAACCCACCTCAGTTTCTTTAAACTCATGGATTACCCAATCGGTCTTCTTTGCTTTCAGCCCACGACCTTCGTGGAAAGTCAGAAACCTCTTCTTCCCAATCACAGATTCGGATTCTTCAGCCCTGATCTCCCGCTCGTCTCCTGTGCTCTTGTAAAAGCCTTGATCCGTGGCCCTGTCTCGGCGAGTCTTGTCGATGTCCTTGTATTTGGGCCGGGTGAAGAAGAACCATTCATTCTCATGAACTTCTGGGAAGAATGCTAAAATCCAACAACAAAACAAAATGTTCAAAATTTGAAACCAACCCATCCAACTCTTGAAGAAGAAAAAGAAACACTGAAACACGATCATAAATTTTTGTGTGCAACAATATTATACAATAGGAAACAGTTATGGGTTAGCTCTTTGAAGGGAAATTAAATCGAAAAAAAAAGCATATATTTTTTATTTTTTTTTGATAAAACACAAAACAATATATTAAAAGTGAAACCAACCCACTTCAATTCTTGAGGTACAAGCGATATTACTACTCTCAATTATGCATACAAAAAGATCATCAATATAAACAGAGCACTGGAATTACTAAACAAAAAAAGAAAAAGAAAAGAAACCAACCCAATTCAATTCTGAAATGAAAAAAGAAACCGAAACAACATCAGAATCCACCAGAAATAAGAAATGGTGAAGAAAAAGTGAGACAGATTAGTGGGTTTACCAGGAATTTCCCAGGGCTCGTACTTGCTGACATCGATTTCAGGGATGAGGTAGCGGAAATGGGAGTCGGTGCCCTGTATCTTGTTCTTCAAGTAGTAGCGGACCAGCAACTCATCAGTGGGGTGGAATCTGAACCCAGGCAGTGGGATCACATTCACATGAACTGCATCTCCTTCTTCAGTTGTCATGCTGCTGCTGCTGCCTCCGCTGCTGTTCTCTCTCTCTCTCTCTCTCTCTCTCTCATCAAAGACCACTTACCACACAAAGCACTGGATTTTTGTATTGACCAGAATTTTTTCCAAGTCTTTGATCTTTAGGAGTAAGTTCATCTTTTGCTCCCTACACTATTGAGGTTTCTTTCATTTTGGTCTTCCAACTATTTCTTATCACAATAATATTTTTATCTAATTCAAATTACAGTGTGATAAATTTTAACTTGGGTGACGAGAAAAGAGTATACTCTCCTAGCTACTTTGGCTACGAATAATTTTACATGAATTTAATTGCAAGTCGTATTACTATTCTAAGTTACAACACTAACATGGATATGAGCGCGTCTGTGCTGGGTGTGGTATGCTGAAGAATAAGGTCCCTGCCTAAACAAGACAATTTACCACTTGGTTTTCATTACAACCGGAAACTGTCTAAATTGAATTGCACACAACCTTTATTATTTTTACAATAATCAATAGAAATATTTTATTAATCAACCAACAAATTATATACAATTACAGAGGTGCCAAATGTATAAATTTTCTAAGAACTAATAATTTAAAATGGAGATAATTTACATAGACATAAAAAAACAGTAAATCTCCCATATGGCCAGCACCACATGAATAAGAACCAAAGAAAACCATTGAGAACCTAAACCATTTATAAAGTTGTAATGAATTGTCGAGGAATTATTTTCAAAATGTTGAGAACAAAATTCAGGACATTAGATGTCATAAAATAATTAGTTAGAGGTTCTATGGATTATTCTCATTTTACCACATTTTTAAAAGCTATGTGACCCATTTGGTCCAAAAAAAAGAGGTTTAAAGACCTAAATATAATAACTACTAAAACTCAAGGTGCAAATTTATAATTAAGTGTAGAGGTTCGAGTACAAGTTCTAGCCTTAACGCGTTAATTTTTAGTTAATTTTATTCTGGCGTGTAGTGGGGATGATAAAATCGAGAGAATTCAAGAACATTCTGGAGACTGACACATGGAAGTTGGAAAGCCTTGCTCAAGGAAAGCATGATGTCACTACGTCAACTGTGCATGTCCATGTGGAGTCACAAGAGTGTTGATTAAGGTACAACAGATGTCCAATTGGGAATAGGATCCTATACTTTATTATGTTCGTTTATGTGCAATAAAAATTTATTTTAAATTTTTTATTTAAAAACTAACATAAAAAGTATCCGACGAAAATTAACCATACTATAAAATGATCCTCATCTGAAATTTATAGACGGTAATGGCTTTGAGTCTGGATCCTAGGGCTGGGCACGGGGCGGGCCGAGCCGGGCCGGACCTAATTTTCAAGGAACCGCAGGTTAAAAGAAACGGGCCGGGCCGAGTCGGGTACATCATATTTCATTACAGGAATCGGACCGAACCCGGCCCGTTTCAAACGGGCCGGTCCGGGCCGGGTCCACCGGTCCTTGGTTTTTTTTTTTTTTTTTTTTTTGCGAAACCGCTACGGAAAAGACTCCAGAACCACCGCCATGCTGCCTTCGTCGTCGCACCACAGCTTCTCCACCGAGCACACACACACAACACACATACTCTCTGCTCTTGAATACACACACACAACACACATACTCACACACATAATCGATTCAACTTCCATGCATGTCCCGAAATAAGCAAGCCCATTGAAATCCCAGATCCATAGTTTCAAACAGAACCCATTACTCTTACGCACAAAACTACATCAAATCAATCTCACAAATAATCAAATTGTTCAAATCGGCAAATCGAACCAGAGAAGTCATCTTTCCACGAATCCAAGACCTCCACCCTCGCAATTACAAATTACATCAGTTGATGAATCAAAACAAAATCAGAAACCCACAAAATTCCTAAATCAGAAACAACCCACATAAATAAAAAACCCTAATTTCCTAAATCAGAAACCCTAATTTCCTAAATCAGAAACCCTAATTTATAAATTACCATGGCCATGATCTGCAACCTGCTCTGCTCCTCCGGCATCGTTATAAAATTTCTCAGTCGAATATCTCAGGTAACACCCAGCATTCAAAGCCCTCCCTTCCTTGCTGGGTGCACACCCCATCGCAGCCTTACTTCCCTTCTCCAGACAACTTTTACACCCAGCACTCCCCACAGTCTTCCAGCACTGCGCCAGAGCAAACACCGACCCCTTCACCTCCGCCACTCCAAACCCGCCATTTCCCGCCGCCGCCGCGGTCGCATTCCCGATCGCAAAGTTTGGATAGAAAGGGAGTCGGAGGAGAGATCGAGGGATAGAAAGGGAGTCGGAGGAGAGATCGAGGGAGGAGAGTCGGAGTCGGGATAGAAAGAGAAGGTGATGTGAGGGGAGAGACGGAGAGTGGAGTGAGAATCGACAGATCCAAGGTGTGAGAAATCGGAGATAGAGGCGTCGGGAGAGAGAAAAACTGTAGGGGAGAGAGAAAGAGTGAGGAGACTGAGGAGAGGAGAGTCTTCGAGAAGGTGTGAGACACTGCGGTGGAGGTCGCGGTGGAGTGTGGGTGTGGGTGTGGGTGTGGGTGTCGTCTGTCTGCTCCAGGAAGGAGAGTTGCAGAGATGGGGGAAGAACAAACACAGGGAGGAATGAGGGAGAAGGATTGAAAGATTGGGTGTGTGTGTGTGGGTGTCGACTGTGTGTGTTCTCAGAAAAGCAAAAGTATCAAGATAAGAAAGAGGGATCAAGAGGTTGGGTGTGTGTGTGTTCCATCAAAAGCAAAAGCAAAAGCATCGGGACAAGGAGACAATCTGACAATGTTCACGAGGAGCCTGGGAGACCGAGAAAATATTATATTTAAATTGGGATGTTACACAAACGGGTTGGTCGGGTACCCGTTTTTTTATACTTCTGGACCCGGCCCGCCCCTAAAATTCTAAAGCCCCGCCCCGCCCCGCCCCGTTTCTCTTTTTAAAAATTAGGAACCGGCCCGTACCCGCCCCGAACCTTGATTACCCGCCCCGACCCGCGGTTCCTGTACCCGTTTGCCCACCCCTACTGGATCCCACCACTTCCTATCAAGTCTTTTTCACTTTGTAATTTGTAATTTTTGTTTCTTTTCTTTGGAGGAATCTCACCTTGTAATTGGAGATTGAAAAGCCAACATTCAAGCTTGCACTATTCTTTTCTTCCCCTAATGATGACCATTCATTTTTCTTGAGTAGCACGTCAATATAGTATCCGCGTATATTTAATTTTTGAATTAATTTATTAGCTTAAATTGAGGGTTCGAAAATTGTTGGATCAAATGCAAGGATCATAGATGTTGTACCTGTGAGTGCTGATGAATAATTAGTTTGAGGTTGTACATACGAAATTATGTGACAAATGAAATATGAACACATGTTTAAAGAATATTTGTATTAATGAATATGTAGGGTTACAATCTCTTTAATTGAATCCTCTGATTCGATATCCGAACATGTAAAGTGTGTATGTAGGGGTTGTTGATTCAAGGGTCGCGATGACTTGATCTTGAATGAATGATTGTCTCAAGGATTTGGCTTGTGGCGAGGGAAGAACCAGCACATGTGGTGCTTGATGATTTTTCACAGGTTTTGGCGAAGAACGTAGAGGGCTTTCTGAATTCTTTTGAGTATTTGGGAATTTGGGAATTTGGATGCTTGAGAGCTTTAGAGTTTCAAAGCTTTATCGTCTGGGCGTGAAAATGATTTATGGACCCTCTTTTGTCCTGAAGCCTCCTATTTATAGACTTTCCAAGCTTTGCCTACGAAAGAACCGAGGCCTCATTCATGTCTTTGTTCGTAATTTGTGATTTTACTCCTTCAATTAATATTTGATTTAATCAAATAAAAATTAAATTAAAAATCAAACAAATCAATCTTCCCAATTTAACATTTTCATTTGATTTAAATTAATTAATTTGTTAATTTAAATTAAAATCAAATATCACTTTCCATCAAATATTGTTCGTCCTTGCATGCCATGTAAGTCCTCACATACTGAAATTTAATGCATTGGTGAACATTATTTTTTATCGAAATTTGCATGTCTACAAAGAGTGTTGACGGAAACTTGTAATTTGGGAACAAATTTCTTCTAACACAATTTCACCGTTACTCGAAAAAAATAGGGTTATATTATATAAGTTCGGACCCATTCATGATTAAGTAATGTTTTAATTACAATCTTTTGTAATGTGCCACAAGAGAAACACTCTTTGATTAAAATTACGAAGAAATGTCATGTTTGATTTTGTAGCTTGCCTATGTATTCTTTTTCAGGAGAATCAAGTCAACTCGTGGTTAATGAAATTTGGATGGCCATCTGGATATGGTGCTTGAAGAGTTTGGGGTAAATTTGGTTGGCCATTTTGTCTCCATGCTCTTGATTTAATTTGAGCCCAACACTTAACAAATAGGCGAAAATGATGAGGTCAACCAGATAGTCTGGAATCACTCGACTATGGGCATCGAAATAATTCCACATTGCTAATTGTGGATGTCACTCAACTTAGGAGGACTCAACTCTAATTGCAAACTTAAAAAGAATATGCTTCTCATTTGTTATGGGAAAAATTTCCCTCTTTCGTTCATCGAAACATTTGAAGGGATTACAAAAGTTCGTATTAAGCTTTTCAAAAAATGTTGTCATCTCACCTATGCCACTAGCTAAAACCATTCTTCCAAAGACACCAACTTAAACTCAATTAACAAACAACTGAACACAATAATTAGTAGCAATTAGCTATTCCAATTATATCCGAATGCCCTAAATTAGTGCATCTCATTCCAATGTAAATTTGCATTCATTTGTTGTAGACTCGTACTACTTTCTCAGATTCTATCTTGTTCTCAAGGTACGTCAGGGAGATCCTCTTTCTCCATTACTTTTTTGTTTAGCTGAGGAAGCTCTGAGTAGAGGTTTATCTTTACTCTACTCTATTGGACAAATCACTACTATTTCAGCTCCACCGGGTTGCTGCCTTCCAACTCATGTGTTATGTGCTGATGATCTTTTTATTTTTTGTCGTGGGAATGTTCGATCTCTTCGTTCTATTCGAAAGTTTTTGGATAAGTATGGTTATGCAT